CCTTGCGCACGGAGCTCGCGAGCCCATGACCAACAAAACACACACACGCACATAATGCGTGCGCGAGTGCGTGTGTACGTATTGTATACATTTATAATGTGCACGATATATATTCGGCATGGCCGCAGAGCGAGGAAAGCAAAGCGAGACAGCAGCAGCGGCAAAAAAATTTCGCGCAGCGTGCATAATCATCGTCACGCGTCACGCGGTTATAAGGCTCTCGCGCAGGCTACAAAAATTTCGCCGAGGTGACGACACACCACGTATATACGTATGTACGAAGATATCGCGGCATCATGGACGGACGGACGCACGCAAGTGCCGTACGAAAAAAAATTCGCGTCACGTGCGCGACGTATGTGCACGTAGTGTAAGTGCCCATGAACGCCGCCGTCGCTTTCTCGCGTCTTGTGCGTGTGCGCGGGGCCCGAAACATTATAATATAACGCTGAACCGTTGCCATCGATGAATCATAGCATCGATGGCGAGGATTGGCAAGCGCAGATTTCTTTTTTTCTTTTTTTATAATTGCAGTCCGCGTTTGTTGTTGTCGAAGACCAAAAAAAATAAAAAAATATGGCCCCGTCTGCGCCGTCGCGAGGCCGCGTGCTCGATGATTTCTAAAAGTCTGACTCTAATAATTGATAGATTGCGAGTATTGGCTGAGCATTCATAATACAAAAGAGAAGGAGAAAAAGAAAAATGTAGCGCGTTTTTCGGAGTCTGTCTGACGAATGCGCTCTCGAGATGTTTGATGTTGTGTTGTCTGTATACAGTATGAGCAGGATACAGACGGTGTCAGGTGTGCTCCGATCATCGATGCCGTAAGGTTCGCGCATAGGTATATATACGGATCAATTAGCATAACATGTAAATCCGCGTTGAAATACGATACAAATACCGCAGACGATCGTAATAGTTTTTGGGTGTCCAGTAGGCGTAAAAAAGGTGTCTATGCGCGGCTGCGTGTGACTCGACTCCTCGCACGAGAGAGAGAGAGAGAAACGTCAAAGTATTATAAGAAAAAAAAACAGACTGTCTCGGACGCGCACATAACATTATAATAATAATAACAATGATGCCGAGGCAGACACAAAAGAAATGAAAGTCGGACGCACGCGGCAGAAATCGGCGTACCTGCTCTGCTCTACACGATATAATATATCATAATATTTCGCGTTAAGACAAATATGTATACGAGAGTCGCGCACGAGAGCTCGAGCGTGATAATATAGCAGTCCCAATACGCACCAATTTTTTTTTTGTCATCGTCTTCTCTCTTTTTCGACTCTTTTTTTTGTCGTGTGCCTGTGTAATCGCGTTTTCGCGCGCGCGCAGCAGCGACTCGCCTGGATAAATATAGATAAACGCGTGCACGCGCTCATGGTGTGTGCGTGTGTATACACACAGCCCAGTACTCCTACTTTCTATTACAGCATTACGAATCATCGACAACGTGCCACTGTAGGTCGAGCTCGTGCGTGCCAAAAATTTCTTTTTGCGGCCGTATAAGTATGTATATTTATCATACAGTTCCGCTAAAAAAAAAAAGTCCCGTTCGATAATTCGCCCGTGTCTTCTTCTTCTCACGGATGCGGTGATCTATTTTCGTAGATATGTATAAATCGTCGCGAACTTACTATTATTATACATTATTATAATCGCCTGTATACACACTAGCCCGCTTTATCTAACCCCACAATAGACCGATGTATCGGGAGTTAAGATTTCCGCGTTCGAGCGATAATAGCCACCGCTCGCAAAAAGATCCGCGAATGGAAAACAAGCACAAGAAAATAATGACAAAAAAAAAAAAAAGAAATACGGAGTGGTGAGGTCGCACGAGGGAGCCCCTCGACGCTGCTCACATTTGCCAAAACGTGCACGACGACGACGACGAGATCGACGCTGCACGCAGCATAGCAACAGTAAAGGCGCAGCTTTTTTTTACATAACGCATACACTAGGTATATGAGCAAAAGACACACGACTCGACTTGACTCGATTTCGCTCGAGGCGCAGAGAGTGGAAACTTTGTTATATATTTATTTGGTCTATAGGCTGCGGCCGGCGTGGCGCTCATAGTATTGTATATTTATGGCGAACGGAAATGAACGCGTACACTGCTACTGCCGATCGAATCGATCGATCGACGCGCTCCGCGTACAATATAAGTATAACAACGACACATAAATACATGTAATAATAACAATAGACGTTCACGAGAGGCGAGATACAAAAATACAGAAAAAAAAATAAAAATTCAAGATCGCATTGCACAATGCGATCCGATATAAACAATTTCGTTCGATCTCTCGCACCTGAATATTATATGTGGCGCTGATCGTACGTACGCAGCAACAATTAAGTTTCAAAACTTACCGCAATCGGTTGCACATCTCAGCCGGTTGCATCCCCCTATATCTCCTATTGATTGTGTGTTTTCGTACCCTCACAGCATGCAGAGGGGTGGGTGTACTGCCAACCACAATCATCGACGGCTCTCTCTCTCTATCTCGGCGACGGGGGGATCAGAGACCGGGCCACAGCCGACTTTTTCTAACGACGTGCTTCTACCGAGAGATCATCGTCTCGAGACCACCATTACCCGTAGTGTGTGCACATACCCGATAGAGAGGATCATGCGAGGAAGATGGTCACATTGAGAGAGTGGCGCTCTTACTTTTTCTTTACAACATCTATGACACGTCAAATAACAAAAAAAAATTTTTTTTTTGGATGTTGTGTGCGATTGGTGTGTGATTGTGTTTTGTTTGTTTGTGTGTCGAGGCATATTTTCATATGGGTTTTTTAATCATGAGATTTTATGGTAATAATAGTATGTAACGGGACGATAATATGGAATACATAATAATAAAAATGTTGTTGATTGATTCATTTTTTATTAATGCGGATCGGGAAATTGGGTGAACGCGATAATATTACGTAGGCAGAAATTCCGCGCCGATTATAATAAAGCGCGGTTCATCGTTGCTATTATTATTATTTTATTATTATTATGCGATCGGTTCATTTGATCGTGATCGCGATCTCAAGGCATTCGAAACATTCGCGAACGACGACGACGAAAAAAAAACGTTTTCTCTCTCTCTCTCTCGCTCACTTCTTTTTTTTAAAGGCCAGACACAACAGCGAAATTATGCAAATGAAACTCACTCAAGCGTGCACACAATATATATAAATGTATATAAGAGCGTAAAAAAAGAAAAAAAGAAAGAAAGAGCAGAAAAAAAATAGTCAGACAGCATAGCCGCGCGTGTCGTCATCCTTCGTCATTACCATCATAGAGCTCGTGTGCTCGTGTATATATTATAACGCGTACAACATTGAAAAGTGAAACAACAACAGGTGCCATATAGTATACTACGCGACTTATCGACGTTTCACACGTATTAGCCGATACTATATAATACACGTTCGAGCGCACGATATTTAACACACATATCTATACACGAGGCAGCAGCAGCAGTAGTAGTAGACAAGAACTGCTGCTGCTGCTGCTGCTGCTACTCGACCTCTATTTTTAATTCCGCGCCGAGCTCTCGGGCGCTCTCTCACAACACGTGCGAAACACGCGACTAGTTTCAAAGCTCGATTCGCGCGCCGTTCAATGCATCGATTGTCGCGCGCGCGCGCCTCGTTGTCATCGTCATATAATATAACATTTGAGCGCGTACATACGTGTATATATAAAGTATATCGATCGCGCGAATCGCGACTCTTTAAGTACAAAATCGTCCCGGTTTTTCCACGCACTCGATGTATGTTGTAAATTGCGCTGTTACACACTCGCACACACACACGTGTATGCACGTGGCGCGCAAATATTATCGCGAGCTTGTGTCTTGCAAAAAAAAAGAAAAAAAAGAAAAAACGTGCGCAATAACAACGACACGTTGGCTTATTATTATTACCACTATTACTCGTCTGTACCGAACGCGTATATGATACCGCACGAGTTTTTGTGAAATTATTTTTAGCCGCGCGCGAGCACAAGTGCACGAGCAGTCGGTCGTAGCCACTATGTATGTATGTATAAATGTGGCAGAGATGAGATCCCTTGCCAATTCGTCATTCGTGTACAAAGACGCGTATTAGTAGCTTTCTATGCAAATGTGCGATTTGTTCGAGACTACTGTGTGTTGAAGTTAAATATATGCAGTATAGTACAGGGGGCGGCGAGTGCATCGCGCTGCGTCCGCCTGACTAAAAAAGGAAAAACGTGATTAAATTTAGAATACATTGTCTGAATCGCATCGCGCGCCGCCCCCTGTACTATACATATACATTCGTATTACGTTCGACTTTTGCGCGCGTACGTGCACTCGATCCGCCGATTTCTCTGTAGTATAATATAAATTAAACGACGATGGTGATGCAGAGATTGGAAGAAGAGTTTATTTTTGTTTTCTTCATTTTTGGGTTCAGATAAAAATCTCGATCGACAGATTTATAGCGAGTGGGTTTTTTTTTTATTCTTGGGATGAGATTATCGAATTGTTGCGATGGTCAGGTGTTATGTATTATAGAAGACGCGATGTATCGGCAGGAAGCAAAACAAACGTATGTGTATTAGATGCGCGCGCAAACGCGATCATCGCATCTGTATGACTATTGGACGCGAGCGGAAATTTGTGAAAATTCTCCGACGCTTAGTGGACGCGCGGAGCAAACTCTGGCAAACATACAAATTTACACACTCGTATACGTATACACACACCTACGCGCGCGAGTGAGGCAAATAAAAACAGCAGCACACTACACACAAACCGTATATCCGGATGATTGACCTTTCGATAATATAACTTTAAAGCGTGTTATAATATATATTATATATTTTATAATCGTTACGTGTAAAGTATGAGATAAGATGCGTTGTTTATACATTACATATACACACACACACATAGAGAACATGTTATAAAAAAAAGAAGGTGTATATTTCACATTTAAAAAAGGAAAACAGAATTGACACTTACTCTGGAGACCTTCTTCTTCGAGTAGATCTCGTCGTCCTCGGACGCCGTGGCGAAATTCAGGGCAGGATCGCTCGACACGACGAGGTTACGCGGGCTCACGCCCAGGCTCATCCTGTAGTACGGCTCTTTGCAGATGCGTTGGCTGCTGACGCTGCAAGCACAGAAAAAAAGGAAAAACCGTGGATTATTTTACAGATCGTTACGAAATCGACAAGAAAAACAACAAATTTTAATATATATATTTACATTATTTGGGCTACGATGCGCGACGCGAAAAACGACATTGAAATTTCGCGCGTTCTAGTTCAGAAAAATATTTACAAACTGCTATCCGGAATTTCGCGAAATTTTTGGGACTAAAAAAAATTTTTTTTTCTTTATAATCCGTTGTTTAAAATCGGTACATAATCCGTATACCGTATAAAAAACGCGCAGAAACTCCAAAACACGGCACATAATATTAGCGCGACATTTAACCTTTTTATAATTCGGTCCCGTCTCGCGCGCGAGCACGGTTACACAAACACCAGCGCGATATCGAGTTTCTTCGAAAATCGGCGGCGGCGGCGGTGCACGAGACCGAATCATCCTATTATTATTTGCGTAAAAAGCGCTCGGTGCTCTGTACGCTAAAATACACACACACCAACCGCACGCGCGCGCATTATATATTACACGCGTGATCGGAATTATAACTTCCTCGCGCGGTGGGTATATAGTAGTTGTGTTGGCGGCAGCGCATTATGGCATCTTTCATTTCCAGAGTATACGCGCGTGTGTGTGTGTGCATGCTATAAAATATGCGGAAGCGATCGGGAATCGCGTCGAGTTCTGCTCACCGCCTGCGAGCGGAAGTCAGCACAAGCCGACTTAAAATAAAAGCGAGCGAGAGAGAGAGAGAGAGAAACGTTATGTAGTATCTCTCTTGCGCGCGAAGCTCTTAGCGATACAACGAGGCGAAGGCACACAAAAAAAGTCACTCGATTTGGACGTCGTCGACGACGAAGAGAGAGCACAAAAAAAGGCCATCGAGTAAGTATATAGCTTTCGAGCCGAGCTGGACGCAGCAGCGGCACGAGAAAAAAAATGTCATTATGTGTCTCTTCGTTGCGTCGAAGGATCCAAACGAGGCACACGTGCATTATATACACAATCAATTACATCCATGCGCTTCGATACGAGTACTCGTCTAAAAATATTATTCCTCCCGCCAGCGGTGGTGGCGGCGGCAGCGGCAGAGTTGCAGTAAAAAAAAGCTCGAGACGTTCAGCGAAGCAAAGATTTCCAGTTTCTCTCTTTATCTTTGCAATGTATATGGCATATTATGCTACTACATACAGCGTTATCTCTCGGTGGTGAATAAGCTTCGACTTGCAGAGAGGCGCGTAATGTATGTATAAAGTCGCCTGCATCATATGTATAATATGTATGTAGCAGCCGGAGCATTAAAAACTTTGGGAAATTACCACGAACGAGCAGCATACGTACGAGCCGATGCATTGCACGCTCACGTCTACATTCGCCTCGTGCGCACGCGAGGGTACTCGAGAAACGATTATATCCTCGCGCGGAAAAAAGAATTACCGAAGAAGTAAGTGGCGTATATGATCGGTACAAATTTTCTATCTCTCTCTCTGTGACGCTAATATATTGCGCAGCACCTTACACGTGTATGAACACTGGATATATGATAATAATATAACAGACAGCAGCAACACGTGCGCGAATGTATAATGCAATGTATGCCGTTGCGCGCGCGCATGTGTGTGTGTGTGTCGCGATGATCCATGAATGAAAGCAAAACGGGGCGATTAGAGATCCGCGCGTGACTAATATTAAGACACAGCGCTATATAATGCACATATGACTCGTTTCCTTTCTCGCGCTGGCTCGCGCGCGTGTCGTCGTTTATTTTCGGGCGCGTATCTTTCTACATATTATGCTATTATTAATGAATGATTCAAAAGCTCGGTGGGCAATAATAATATAGACGACATTTTCCGCTACTTAGGAGAGCGAGTGCATCCTAGATTCATTTACGCATGCACATTAATGCATCGTTAACCGAGACTAATATAAAACGATCAGCTGGTGAGCGTGCAAGGGGACTTTTTTTTGCGTTTCGTTCGGGAGTGCGAGCTGTGTGCGTGTGTAAGCTTATCTGAAGCTATAACGCTCAAGACCGAGCCTATATAGCATGTATAATGCATACGCGTCTTTAAACGGGATTAAATGCGAAGGTCGCGGTATTATAGGCTGCCGCCGACGGATTGGTAATAATAAAGCCCGCAACACGAGCCGCGATCACCGCCGATGAAATCGTTGGGGAATCAAATAGTAAACATCGAATGACCGAAAAATCATCGAGAGAACCACGTGTCCAGGCGGTACGCACAGATTCGCTCCCCTGGCTTTCTCGACTGCGAAAGACAAACGGCGGTATCTCCGTATAGTTATAAATCCGAGATTAAAAATATACTATTCGCGCGCGTATATCGGAGCTTTGCATCTCTATACACACGCACATGTGTGCGAGCCTGTCTGCCTATATAAACTCGAAACTTCCTGTGGAATCTCGTTTTTCCCTCCACGCGCGACGCGCCGCGCTCGATATATGGCCGATTCTCTGTGAAATTCAAACGAACGATTTGTTTTCTATCGAGCCCTTTCAGAGGGCCGAAGTTGGCGTTTTTCCGAAATTCATGATTATTGACGGTACTTGAAAAATTTGAGTGACTTTAGAACAGAAGCGCTGGAAAGTTTTTTTCCTGTTTCAGTCGATCGTCAACGAAGAATTCTCAGAGTTTACTCATATTGTCAACTGGAATGTACTCCAAAATTTTGTGATCGGCATTTAAGCCCGACGGACATGAAAAATCTTAAATAAGTTCCAGTAATACACCTAGATGGCGTATTTTGCACCACTAAGTGGTAAAAATAATTCAGATTACTATATAAAGAAAGAATGATGATTCATTAATTGGATAATGTTCTGCAAACAGTTACGCCGTAAAAAGATTAAATTTTTTATCTTTTCTCAATTGCTTCAAATTATTCAAATTATTCCATCTGCATTTTGAAATTTACCTAACTTTGTAAAATTGTGATATACTGCTTTAGAAGGTATCGAAAACCCGAGGGTTTCGAAAAAATAAAAAGTGTGAAAAAGAATACCGGATGAGCGGAAAAAAGCAAAAATAAATTCATTTAATGTTTATTCTCCTTATTTTTCACACACCAATTTTCTCTCTCCAATGTCTCTTGATCGCCAAAACCAATGAGACTTCATACAAATGAAAAAAAAAACTTTAACCCTCTTGATTTCACAGAGAATCGACCATATACACAACATGTGCTATGTGTAACGTGTATTACGGCCCATAGTCCAAGTGCAACATACACCGCTCACAGACACACGCACACACACACATAGAAGCTGCAATGCAACAACTTCCAGCAGCGGCTGCAAGGCGAGTTCTCGGCGTCCTTCATCGACCTTAAACGAGTCTATATAAATATATACACGTATACATAAAGCTCGCGAGCGATCGGTGCACTGAGCGCCTGGTCGAGTCCGTTCACTTTTGCTGCGACTGCTGCTGCTGCTGCTGCTGAGAGAGAGAGAGAGAGAGATGTTTATCGGCTGATGTGTATAGTTACTGCTGTTCGCGTACACATACACACATACACACACGAATGAAATACTCATTGGGCTTCCCTACGTGCATACGTGCGCGTAATGCACTATGTATGCACGGGTAAATACGCCTATATGAGCAATTCTCCAAATGAAACGCATTTTTTGAGGTAGAATCGCGACAAATTTTTTTTTCAACCTACGCGGATACGGACCCCCGGGAAATGTTTTTGGGGGTCCTAGGAACATGTAACCACGTAGGAACCATTGAAATTTCAATAGTGCTTATTTTTATAGCTACTTTTGTGATTTAGAGGACGAAAAATCATGTTTTCTCGTAAATGCGGCTAATTACTCAATTTCTAAGTCGCTGAAAAAGTATCAAAACTCATCTAAAAAAAATAACTGGCTACTGTGTTCGATAGGAAATTTTCTCAGCTTTCCACTGGTGGTATCAGATATTCCGATAAGTCGCACATTCGCCGAGAAAATCGCCATCAAAAGTGCCAAGCTAAATATCTCGAAAAACTCGGTAAGGAAAAAGTGATCTTTGAGGTTTAATTTCGATTTTTCCTCGTGAAAATGAAATTTATCGAAAAATCTGACTACACCATAAGAAAGCTGAGGAAATTTCCTATCGAAAGCATATCTTTATTTATTTTTTCGGTGGAATTACGAGCTAGTTTTGATTGTAGCGAGCCGAAAACCTCGCGACCGCGCTGAATCAGCTCGGAAACAGAAAACAGCGAACAACGTGAAAGAAATTCCCATGTATAACATTGTAATTCCACCGAAAAAATAAATAAAGATATGCTTTCGATAGGAAATTTCTTTGGCTTTCTCATGGTGTAGTCAGATTTTTCGATAAATTTCATTTTCACAAGGAAAAATCAACAATTATCCAAAAAGTTCACTTTTTCCGTACTGAATTTTTCGACATATTTAGCCCTCAATGTGTGATGGTGATTTTCTCGGTGAATGTGCAATTTATCGGAAAATCTGATACCACCATTGGAAAGCTGAGAAAATTTCCTATCGAACACAGTAGTCAGTTATTTTTTTTAGATGAGTTTTGATACTTTTTCAGCGACTTAGAAATTGAGTAATTAGCCGTATTTACGAGAAAACATGATTTTTCGTCCTCTAAATCACAAAAGTAGCTATAAAAATAAGCACTATCGAAATTTCAATGGTTCCTACGTGGTTACAGGTTCCTAGGACCCCCAAAAACATTTCCCGGGGGTCTGTATCCACGTAGGTTGAAAAAAAAATTTGTCGCGATTCTACCTCAAAAAATGCGTTTCATTTGGAGAATTGCTCATATATAAATGAAAAATACCTGGGGTATTTTTGTATAAACGCTCGCGCGACAGATAGAAACGAGAAGAAGAAGAAGAAGAAAAAAAAACGAAATGACGAAACACCTAGGCGACTGCTGCTCCTACATTTACTCGGCGTTGGAAAAAAAGTAAATTATATATAAATAAAAGTAAAATGAATCTACGCGTAATTAC